GTTGGATCAGTTCACAAGGAGCTTACATCCTAATGGAAGGAAATGATACATGAAAGGAAACTGGAAAGTAAGGAGGTGAAAGGGAAGGTACCTCTATGAAGATGGAGATATGGGCACAGACCAAATTGGCCTATGTTCAGCCCTACTTGGTATTACTTTTCAAATATTTATGCGTACCAGGCATGGCTCATGGGTCATGAGCTGAATTTCTGACCATGACTATCCTTGGAACATGATGTTCTACATCAGATTCAGCACCATGCTCAGAAATACCTTCCTACAAAAGACTGTGAAATGGATGATGGAGACACAGAAAAATTGATGGTTTGAACATAAAAACTATGGCCTGATACTTTAAAACAAGTAGAATGATTTTGCTTTTTTTGACACTCCCTGACAGGCAAAGGCACTGGTGTCTATAGGATAGAGAGCCCCAAAATGAAACTTTCTTGCTATAACTCTCTCCCAGCATAATAGTCTCCAGAGGCTTCTGTTCCTTGCAGATCCCAGGAACTATCAATAGGGCAAGGTGTGTGGCCAGTGCTCATGCTCCAGCTTCTTGGAGCCACAGGTGAGAGTTGGGTGGCAGGTGAACACCGAAGGTGGATGAGCAGCCCAAGGGCTCAGCAAGCCCGCACACCAGAGGTGCTCGTCCTCCCTGAACACCCCTGGAGAACACAGGGAGCCAATAAAAGGAGTGAGAGCAACATGGACAAATGAACTGAGGGCAAAGGCCTCTCAGGGCTTTTTTCCCTATATTGTCTTGAGATACCCTTTGCCTTCATAACCAACCCCAGTGTAGGAGATCAAGAAAGTCAGTTGAAGAGAAAACAGTGGCCCTTAGAAGAGTGAACATTGGCCAAGGTGGAGACTAAACCCTACTACAGTGGCTACTACTCCATGTCTTCCTGCAGTAGCATTCAAGCTGGTCACTCTTTCCCTCTGATGAAAACATATCTTGTCCAACCTTTTGTGTCTGAGACAACAAAGGACAGAGACTAAAGGGAAGGGGAGGGGAGCAAAAGCACTGCAAACTCAGAATGAATATATGTGTGTGTGTGTATACATATATATATATATATACAGATATATATATATATATATAAAGAGAGAGAGACAGTAAGCATATTATCAGCAAGGATGACTTTGAAAAGTCATCGGCAGGGTAACTGATTTTTTAAAAAGCTGACTGAGGAGGAGAGATAAACAGACATTTTGAGAGAAAAAACCATTTCAATGGACAATTAGTTTGCAACAAGGGACACTGAATCAAAATCCCTTGAGGAAAATTAAGATATCACAAGAAATGCTGCAGAGTCCTCTGAAATGACAAGGCAATTGTAAGAACTTTGGGATGCTTCAAAAGAATAATCAAAAAATTAACTAAAATGTCAAAAAAATTAAGACAGAAATAATAGCTCTTACCAGAACAATGGAGCCAAGATGGCAGAGTAAAGGCAATGGCTCAGCTAAATTCTCCCCCAAATCCCTCCAAATACCTTTAAAAAATAATTCTAAACAAATTCTAGAGCAGCAGAACCCCCATCAAGATGGAGTGAAACAAATTTATAGTCCAAGATAACTTGAAAGGTCGGCAGGAAAGGTCTGTTGCGCCATGGTGAGAGAGGAGTACAGCCCAGCACAGGGCATGCCAGCGCAGACTGGACTCTAGTGAACCTGGAACAGACCTTGGGAGCCACTGAATCCGCAGCGGCAGAGGCAGCAGCAGCTGCTTCCAGAGCTCTCAGCCCACAGCCTTTAATAAGTGGTCAAAAGGAGATTACAGGGGTCTTTTTGCTAGTTCTAAGGCAGGACTCTGTTGCTTTGCCCATGCTTGGTTCTGGGTCTCAGTCCTGGGTGGCAGTCCCAGGGTGAGGAGGAGCACTAGCAGAGCAGAGTGACAAGGTACATAAGGACAATGGGAGAGTATTTCTGGATAGTTCTTCAACATTAAATTAAATTCAAACATTATTTAGCTAGCACCTAGACTCAGGAAACCCATCCTGCCACAAGGAGAAAGAAAGAGAATATTCATTTACATAGCACCTACTAGTGCCAGCTACTATGCTAAGAGCTTAATAAATGTTATCTCATTTGAACCTCACAATAACCCTGCAATGTAAATGCTGTCTTTATCCCAGTTTTATAGTTGGAGAAACTGAGGCAAACAGAGGTTAAGTAATTTCCTCACTTACAGCTACTAAGTATCTGAAGTTGAATTTAAAATTGAGTCCTCCTGACTTGAGGTACAGCACTCTACTCACTATATCACCCATCTTCTTTTTTCTCTGGACATGATCCAGTGTGCCAATATCCTAAAATGTGGGGTCCAAAATTGGACACAATACTGTAGATCTGGTCTGAGCAAGACAGAGTCCAAAGGGGCCATTGTCTCTTGTTCTGTACATTATGCTTCTCTTCATTCATCTGAAGTCCACATTAGCTGTTTCACTTCTATTATCACATTCTTTACTCACACTGCCCTTGCTGTTTACTCATGTGCCAATTTCTAAAAATTTCTAAATTAATATTTTTTCAATTAGCAATCATTTCTTTTCTCTGCCTTTCATCACGAGAAAGAACAACAAAGAAAAACAAAGCCTTTGAAACAAATAAGCATAGTCAAACAAAACAAATTCCCACAAGGTCCATGTCCCCAAAAACATGTCTCATTCTGCACATTAAGTCCATGACCTCTCTGTCAGAAGGTGAGTAGCATGATTCATCATTGCAGCTCTAGAATCATGGCTGGTTGTTTGATCACATATCTTAAGTCTTTCAAAATTGTGAGTAGATCCAGGAGAATAAGTTAAACAACAACAACATTGTAGATATGAGCACCTATGAAAGACCTAAATCTTTTTTTCAAATAAATCACTTTCTAGCCACATCTCCCTTATCCATTAGTCACGTCTAAGATTTGGGTCTGGGGCATTGACTGTTGAAAGCAGCCTGTGCCAGTAGCTATTCCAGCTGCTACACTCACCTAATCCAACTGAAATACACAGTTGGTCTTTGAAAGCAGAGCCAAGCAGATAGGTACCATCGAAGCTTCCTTTTTCGGCCTGGAGGGATTTAATCTTGTAAAAGTTATATCTTCCCCCTCTTCACTTCTCCACACCATCAAATCCAAAAACTTTGGCAATGGTACTTGTTGTTCCTCTTAGCATTTAGTATTGAGGAAATAAGAAGGAAGTAGCATGTGCTCAAAGATCAGGTTACTGAGGGCTGTACCATGGATCAAGGCACAATGTAAGGGGCCCAACAGTAAAGATTCTAAGCTGACCTAGAGTTGTGTGATTTGATTCTAGTGCAAAGACCCTCCCACTTGTTCAGGACTTGAATTTCTCCTCTTACTGCCTTCCCTTTACCAACTAATGCCTGTATCGGGCATTTTTAGCAATAATTCTAATACACCTTGTTGCGTGGTTCTTTAATTGCATTGTGTAACTCTTATCTCCCTGAAAAGATTATAAACTCCACTCAGGAAGGTATTAAGTTATAAGCATTTTCTGGCTATCTCATAGAACTTAACACCTGTACTAGGCATCCAGCGTAATAATGGGTTTAAAAACACTTGAGAAGCAGTAAATAGATAGAGAGGCAGCCTTGGAGCCAAGAAGACTTGCCTCTGGATCCGTCCCTGACTCTCAGTGCTCCTCCTAAGTTTATGTCCAACTATATCGCTTCCCTCCTCCACTTAGTAAATGCCAGTGCCTTTATGTTACCTCCAAGATCAAATAGAAAACTTTCTGTTTGGCTTTTAAAGCCCCTCATAACCTGTCCTAGCCCCTTCCTTTCTACTTTTTCAGTCTTCTTATGCTTTACCCTCTTCCCCCCACTCGATAACTTAGCAACATTGGCTTTCTTTATGTTCTTCATACATAACTCTGATGATGGGGTATAATCAATGTCTCTGAGGTCAGAGAACCTAATCTCAAATGCTGACTCTGATGGGTACTACCTATGTGTCCTTGGGTGAGTTTCTCATTTGATTTTCTACAAAATGAAAAGGGGCAACTATATGGCCTAAAAATCCTTTCCAGCTCTATATCCAATATCCTATTTATACTCATTGATATGATAAAACATGACCGTTTACTATAATAGTGAGACTGACTAAAGTCAGTAAAACAACTCTCTCATGAAGCAATAACATAAAGCCCATACCAACTCATCTGTATGAACATGAGCAATAATAACAGAAATAATAACTTACACTTATATAGGGCTTTCCATTTATAAAGTATTTTTTATCTGATCACCTCTCTACTCTTGGCTTCAATTTCTTCTCTGTGCTGCTGTTCAGTCATTTCAGTCATGTCCAACTCTTTGTGATCCTATTTTTGGTGTTTTCTTGGCAAAGAGGCTAGAATGGTTTGCCATTTCCTTCTCTGGCTTGTTTCACAGATGAAGAACTGAGGCAAACAAGGTTAAGTGATTTGCCCAGGGTCGCACAGCTAGTATGTGTCTGAGGCCAGATTCGAACTCGTGAAGATGAGTCTTCCTGATTCTAAGCCCAGTGCTCTATCCAGTGTGCCACCTAGCTACTCTTCCTCTCTGTACTAATCTGTTGAAAAAAATCATTAGGATGGAGTAGATGACCCTTAAGGTCCTTTTCAGTTTTAGAATTCTAGGATTCCTCTAAAACTTTTTTAGGAATGAAAAATCTTAAAGTCAGAATGATGACAAGATCACAGGACTACCCCCAGTGTGTGACATGGCAGAAAGAGCTCTAGATTTGGAATAAGTGGACTCTGGTACAAATTCCCCATCTACCTTCTCATGCCTATGTAGGGATATGGTGAGATTTTTCACTGGTTAAAGTACAGCATCAAAGAAATGAAGATTTATTGATAACAGGTATGCCTAATAAAAACAAGTTTTGGGCTAAATGGATGGAGAACAAAGATTTTGCCTTCTTAGCTTACTGTTTATTTTGATTCAAATTTATTTTCATTTTTAGCACAGTGACTGGCACCTTTATAAATGCTAGTTGGTAGACTGATGCTAAACCAGACAAAATCTTGGATAACTAAGACTATTAGCTAATTATCTATAACAGAGAGCTTTGATCTTTGTGCAAACACAGGAGTTTAAGAAAAGACTTAATATTCGCCTGCCTGACTCTTACTACCTGGGTGTGGTGGCTTTGATTAAATAGCTATTAGTCTGCTTTTATATGGTAGAGGTTCTAGCTATTAAATCATTGGAGATTGGAAATGAGATGGCCCAAAAGTGAAAATAGTCCAGAAGGTAGTAGTAGGGAATAAAGTCCCTGATTGTGATGTCCAGCAGTCAATGACAACCAGAAAAACAATGCACCCAGCAGAGATGAAGCAAGGCCAATGGAGCAATGCTTAGCTGAGACTATTTACCCAGCAATAACCACAATAACTGTAGAGTAAATAGGATAGTAGACAGATTCACCAGTTCAGCAAAGGTACCTGACAGAGATGCCATGTCCAGTAGAGAATAGTCTCAGAATGAACAGCAGGGCATCTGTGTTTCGGTACCATCTGAGGTATGTGAATTTACCCTCCACAAGTATTTCCATTGTGTATGCTAATGCGATATCCTTCTTCAAGGCCATTCTCCCCGCTGGTATGCACATTTGTAGGAAAGGGTGCCCTACACTGATGGGAAAATATGTTATTATAATTTCTTTTGTTATGCAATGTCATTAAATGCCTTTGCTTCAAACTAGTCATGTCCTCTGATTAATGAAACAGTAAACATTGGGAGGGCTCATAAGTTATGGTTTTGAGTGAATGAAGACACCCAAAGATCTTTAAGCCTAGAGGAAGTATTCTAGGTGACCAACCCCAATGTTACAAGTGTGTTAGCATAAGTTACTTTATATCTCTGGACTTTTTTCTTATCTGTAAAACGAAGGGGTTGTACTAACAGACTTTCAAGGTCTCTTCTACCTCTAAATCTACAATTCTAAATTCAAGCCATGCAGAAAAGGGAACACATTGTCATCAGAGATTGTTCCTCAGAAATTTTACCCTTGGAATAAATTAGTCAACAAGTTAATATTTAAGCCAGTAACTTCCCTAAGGGCAATGTCTCTCCTGTAGAGTCTAAAATGTTATGTGCTCCTCCTCATCGCCTGAAACAAGGACATCCAAATGATGAGATTTAGAAACTAAGTCCAACATCACTTCCTCCTAAGCTAATGTTTCATTCTCTGTTGGCTCCATGTAAGTAACTTGGATCACAGCATCTGGACAATCCATTTCCCACATCTTTAAACAGGAAATAAAGCCTGTCCACCTGACTGGGGCAAAGCCAACTGGGGACTAAGAGCAGGAAGTGTAAAAAGTAAGTATTCCCCCTGGAGCTCTAGAGCCTTTGGGTGGGCCCACTGGCAGTGAGATGGAAGAGGAATTGTCCCTATTTAGCAGTTGAGCTTCCAGAAGCAAAATCATCTTGCAAGAACTCTCTCCCTGCCTAGTAACCCTGGGGGGAAAAATAATAATACAAAATAAAACAAAAAGTTAGTATGAGGGCCTTTGAAGGGCCTGTTTTGGAACGATAGTCAGTTATCTTCTGGCTATATTGATACTGACCCAGCTGGAGAAATCATTAAGTTATGGGATAAAAGAGCTACAATTTAGATTTCCTGTGCAGAGAAAACAGAGAATATTTTGAAAAAGAAGCTCAGGGTTTGTTTTGTTCTGTTCTGGGGTTTTTTTATGTTTTAGTTTTATTTGTGGTTTGTTTTCCTGACAGCCTCCAATCAGCAAACCTAACATGGTCTGGGATAGTGGCTTGGGACTTTGTCCTCCAAATTTTTTTTATATTTGGTTAAACTGCCAAGATAGCCTTTGGTATCTAATAAAAGTTCACCAATAGACAATCCTATTTTCATTTTATGCTAATGCTTCAGGTCCCAATCTTGTGACCCACGGTCAAGATTTCTTATTTTCAAGGTAGCATCAGAAAGAAGTCTCCTCCTCCTAAACCCCTGGTAGTCAAGATCACTCTCAGCTCCCATTCTTTGGTCTAATATTTTCTCTCTAAAATAGAAACTAGGATTTTGCTACAAGCTAAGTCACATTATAAACTACATGTTACTATTGCCATGTGGTATCTAGGACAAAGACTGAACACTCCGGCCTTTTTTTGCTAGGAAAAATCTGACTTTAAATCTTGGCTCTGCCACTTAGATTTCTATAAATCTATCTAAGCCTCAGTTTCCTCATCTGTGAAATGAGAATAATTTTGCAATGACAGACAACATGATGTAGTGGATAGGAAGCCCAGCCTCAAAGTCAAGAAAACCCGGGTCCAAGTTCTGCCTTTAACATATACTGACTGTGTAACTCTGAGCAAATCACTTAAGCTCTCAGTGACTTAGGCAATGTGCCAAAACCATAAATTGTGGAATAATTCATATCTGCTTTGATAAAAGGAGTTTCTCAAAGGGTGTTAACTATAGCAAATAAATCATATGTCCAGACCTATGATAAGATATGATATTATAATTTTTAATTGTATTATCTACTTACATTATAACAAAAGGGTTTTGCAAACCCTTAAAACACTATATGAATGTAAGTTATCATGAGCTGGGGAGGATGTCTGTCTTAACATAGGCTGGACAATCCCAATATTTACCACCTTCATTTGACAGACTTCATACCTTTTCTCTAAGGTTCTCATCAATGCAGACACACTTACATGTGCTCATAAACATTCATCAATGCTGCTAATTACATTCTCATAGATTCTTCTGGAGAGCTCTCTTTTCCTATATGGAGATAACTTGATCCCAGAATGGGGCCATTTCCATGAGAACCATCTGTCATAGTTCTCTCACCAAAGCTCCCCAGGGCCTGGAATCACTCTGTAGAACTCACCACTAGTACCCAAGACTTCATGACCTCTCCAGTCTACTCCACAGTAAGAGTTCTAGAATCTACTCTTTCTATCTACCTACAACTTGAGACTCACTTGCTCACTCAGACAACAAGATGAGCATGAGGATTCTACCCCCAATTCTATTCCATCCCGATTTAACAAGCATTTAGGAAATGCCTGGTATAAGCAGGTACTATAATTTAACTCACATTTCACTCCCTAGTACTGTTTTTCAGGTATGTACTCAATAGCTGATCAGTGAACAAATCAAACACATAACAAGTATTTGTTATTTACAATATCACTGGGGATATAAAGACAGAAATGAAACAGTACCTGTTGTTAAAGAGTTTACATTTTAATGGGAGAGACAACACATATGTGTACTTGCATATACAAAATGTATTCAAGTTAATTTAAGGTAATTTTATCAGGAGAAGGCACTAGCAGCAGGATAAATCAGAAAAGTCTTTATAGAGAAGATATACACATATATGTACATATATGTATACATACATACACCATATACTATATAAACTGAGCTTTGAAGGAAATTAGGGATTTTAAGAGGCCAAAAAAGAAGCACATTCCAAGTTTGGGGGAGGTCCTGTGCAAATGCCAGAAGATGAGAGATGGAATGTTCTGTGTGAGGTTACAGCAAGAAGGCCAGTGTGGCTGGATCATAGTATATACACACTAAGGGATTAATATACAACAAGTCTAGAAAGGTAGGTAAGGGTCAGGTAGCAAAAGGCTTTAAGTGACAAATAGAGGAATTTATATTTCAACCTATAGGCAAAAGGGAGCCACTCTCATTTATTAAAAAGGTTACTGAGGTGGTCAGACCTGTACTTTAGGAAAATCACTTGGACTCTATGTGGAAAATGGATTGGAGTGGGTAGAGATGAAGCAAGTAAACCAATTAAGAGCCTATTTCAATGGTACATTTGAGAGGGGAAGAAGGCCTAAACAGGGTGGTGGTTGAATGAGTATACAAGAGGAAAAATGTAAGAGATACAGAGGAAAAATTAAGAAACATGGCAACTGATTTAAGTTGTAAAGTGGGAGTGCACAGGTGAAGAAGACTTGTAGGTTATGAACCTGAAAGGATTGTAATTCCCTTAAAAGAATGAGTGTAGGTTGGAAAGTGGTAGGTTAAAGACAAAAAGATAATGAGCTCTGTTTGGGGCATGTTGAATTTGAGATGGTAATGTGACATCCAGTTGGAAATCTCTAGATAGTCAGAGATGCATGACTGGATTTCCAAAAGAGAGATTGGAAGTCTTCTGCACAGAAATGATCATTAAGTCCATGGCAACTAATGAGATCACCAAGTGAAAGTGTAGAGAAAAAAGGGAAGGCTCAGGTCAAGGTCCATAGCCTAGGGGTACATCAACAGTTAGAGGGTGCGATATGGATCACTATTCAACAATGGATCTATAATCCATCTTCTCCTTTAGTAGCATCAGAATAATCTCTTATTGTTCTTTAATAAACGTGGGGGGTTAAGGAGCAATTAATGACCCCAACCTATAAAGAGATTGTAAATATCACTGGCCATATAAGTAATGTACTCTATGTGATGTTGCAGGATAATTTGATTTATGGGTGGATGATTTGTGGAGGATGTCCCAATGTATAGCGGCAAGTCCATAGGTGGGTCACACTCTGAAAAAGATTAGGAGAAACTATTTTGATGGATTAAAGAATGTGTTAGGAAATGACAGGCTTAGACTATAGGAAGCACTGTTGTAGAATGGCTAGAACTGGACATGGAGTCAGGAAGACCTGGATTCAAATCTGGCCTTGGACATTCACTAGCTGTGTGCCCCTGGGAAAGTCACTTGACTTCTGTCAGCCTCAACTTTCTCATCTGTAAAATGTGGGAAATAATAGGCTTATTGAACAAAGGAAGGAGGAAGGGCAGGAGTAAAAGGAAGAGGAGGAGGAGGAAGTTGTTTGGAATTGTAAAGGTCAGAAATTGGACTTGGAGAGAAGAAATGTATGAGGACTTCAGAAATTGAAGAAGAAAAGGATTCATCTGGAAAGAGGAGGAGATGGGTTGAAGATGGAGAAACTAAGAAGGAACTGAGCAGAAGGATATGAAGGGAAAACATAGGGGCAGAAGAACTTTAGATGGAAGAGGAAAACGACTAGGAAAAAGAAGAGAGGTGGAAGGAATAGAAGGAAGGTCTTAAGGAGGAGAAGAGAATAAATAAGACAAGGTAAGAAAAATAATTTGGTAAGATAAGAGATTAAGGGGAGAAAAGATAAATTGTATGTAATTCTAAAGGTGCTAGTAAGATAAGGAGAGCAACAGTTTTAAAGTTGAAGACCCCCACAAGTAGCTTGGCCCAGGCACTCTGTAAGTGTGCTGATAACCAGACACAAAACCAATGATCTCTCTCCAATGAAGTAAAGAGAGTAAGGAAAATCTGCAGGGGTTTTGTTGCACTGACTAAATGACAGCTTCCTGTGCCCCGAGATCCAACTGATCTCATTACGAGAAGAGAAGCTAAATGGTATTAAGGGCATCCTTCTAATCTCCAGGTTACCAAGGATGATGAAGTTTTCCTTTTAAAAAGAAAGAAGAATTCTAATGTGAAAACAAAAAGAAGCATCTGAAGAAGTAAAGGGAAAATTTGGACCTGTGTTAAGATTTTGGAGAGTGAAAGAATGTTGTACAGACAAAGGAAGGCAGAAGGACCCCTGAAGCCAACAAATAGATATTGGGCTCTTCCAGGAGGGGAAAGAGCTGGGCATTTTGAGAAATGATGTCCTCCAAGTAATGATGGTATGGATCCGTAGAAGCTGTCAGGTGAAAGAGCATCCTCAAAGCATCAAAGGTAGAAGAAATGATGGTGTATGACTGATGGACACTGGACCAACTATCTGTTGACCTAATGAAAATAGAGATGTCTTCTGTCTTCCTAGGGTATGTATCTAAAGTGGGCTAAGGAAATGTCTCAAGATTTGTCAAACTGAATGTCTAGTGCTCACTTCCATAAATTCCCTTGGGCATAATGGTACTGGCAGAAGGAAACAAAAAAAGCAGATTATCAAATCTTAGGCAAAAACTGTGCAGACATGGGTATGGTTTACATCACTGCTACACATCAAAGGCAAAAGATTCAGAAAAGAGAAGAACATTTGGAAAGGAAATAGATGGTAGAGAAGATTGCATCTGAGAATAGAATTTGGATTTTGGGATCACAGCTTTTAAATCTAGGAACGATTAGCTCTTTTTCAGGAATGGAATGCATCTAACAAAAGACTGCTAGGAATGCTGCAAATCTTGTAAATCTAATCAAAATTAAACTGAAAAGGATGGGAGAGAGAGAGGAAATTGTCTATGTTTATGCATGCTAGAGAGTAGCTTCAATGTAGGATGAAGATTGGCAGTAAAGATATACAGAAAATGGAAGGACAGTGAGTGGAATCTGATAAAAAAAAAAACCCATGGCCTCAGATATTTCTCCCCTAAATATTTTACCCCTAAATCCTCTCTTCCTACAAATTTTTCTAGTATTGTAAAGGGCACCACCATCCTCCAAGTCTGCTAAACTGGAAACCTGAGTGTCTTCCTTGACTTCTCTTTCTCTCTCACCACCACCACCCACATTTCCAATCTGTTGCCACAACTTCTTAATCCTACCTATTATAATAGTTCGCTGGTTGGTCTCAGTTCCTCCAGTCTCTCCCCACTGCACTCTATCCTTCACTCACCTGCCTAAGTGATCTTGCTAAATAAAGCACAGGTTTGACCATCTTATCCCACCCCATTCAATAAACTCCAATGGCTCCCCTTAATGCCAGGATCAAATACAAAATCCTTTGTTTGGCTTTTAGAGCCCTTCATAACTTGGTCCCTTCCTTACCTTTCAAGTCTCCTTCCACTTTACCCTTTTATGCAGCAGCACTGGCTTCCTTTCTTCCTTGCACAGAAGGCTCCATCTCCCAAGTCTGTGTATTTTTCCTTTCTGTCTCCCATTCCAATAATGTCCTCCCTCCTCATCTCTGCCTGTTGTTCCCTGACTTCCTTCAAGTCTCAGCTAGAAGCCCACCTTCTACAAGAAGCATTTCTTGGCCCCCCTTAATGTTAATGCCAATAATTCAGTCTCAGAAAAGAAAGAGAACTAGTTGCAAAACAACTATCAATTGGAGGGGAGTGGTACTTCTGGTTCTAATGGACTCACAGGAGAGTTCTATCAAACTTTTAAAGAACTAGCTCCAATACCACATAAATTATCCTCAAAAATTAAGAAAGAAAGCACTTTACCATATTCCTTTTACAAAATGAACATAGTCCTAATGTTGGTACCTTTCCTTTGAGTTTATCTCCAACTTATCCTGTGTGTATATATACATAGAGTCTATACATTCAGATATATATGTGTGTATATGTGTATATATATATATATATATATATACACACATATATATATATAGCCTTTACCTAGTTGTTTGCATATTGTTCCCCTCTCCCACCACTAGACTGTCAGCCCCTTGAAGGCAGGACTGTTTTAGCTTTTCTTTGTATCCCAGCACTTCAGGCCTGGCCCATGGTAAGTACTTAATAAATGGTCTAGACACAAAAGCACAAAGAACGGATGACAAGCATGAATTAGAGCTCCTAATGCAAGGAAGCAAATTGAACCTCATAGATGTCACTGTGCCTGGGTGATATGAGACCCATGAATGGAATATAGCTCAGAAAAGTTATACCTTATTTGAAGAAACAGGGGAGGTTGTGGGCAGAGGAAAGAGGCAGTGAAATAACCTTAATACATAATTTTCTTATCTATAAAATGAAGTGCTCTGCCTCTTTACTCCTTCAAAAAGCCATAACTCCTTCAAGGCTATAACCACCTAAAAGAAACTTCCCTGATTCTCTCATATGTTAATCTCCTCCCCAAAAACATATGTATCTATTTTTATATCTTTTTTACATATTTGTTTGTTTGTTTGTTGTATCCATGCCATCTCCCCTTCCCCCAATAAAATATAAGCCCCTTGAGGAAAAGGATAATTTCATTCTTTTCTTGTGTCCCTAGAATCCGTTACACTACTTAGCATGTAGTAGGCATTTAATAATTGTTCATTGAATTAAATTGAATGAATTACCTCTAAATACCCTTCCAAAACTGAATCTATGATAAGGAATGTGATCATATAAGGAAATACAGGGCCTATTTCTTCCAATGGTGGAAGAAATAGAAGCAATTGCATGATCAACAGTGCATTGGACAAAAAGAAGAAATAGTGGGAGGCATGCATTTTACTGTACATGCAAACATCGCCAGGTATAGGAGTGCTTTAGCAAAAACTATGTTAACAGGAAATATCTCACAGATATTTATTTTTTAAAGTAGGAAGGAAACCTCCATGCCTTCTCCTCTGTGGTTCTTCCCTTCTCTCTTTTCCTTTCTCCCTCCCTCTATTATTCCACTATCCCATTTTCTTCTTACCTTAAAAGGGGAATTTGAAAAATTAACCAGAATAAAAACTCCACCCTCCCAAGTAGTCTGAATAATCCTAGATATACTGCTGCAAAAGGAAGCTGATCCTGTAAGATCTGTCTTTATTCTATTGGTCTGAGAAGTTGGGGTTTTTATTTGTTTATTGTTGTTAACAGGATTTTTACTGAGCCAGTCTCTAACCTGAGAATGCTCAGAGCCTCACAAAGCAGGCCTAGAGACGGGAGTGCCAGTAATCAAGTAGTTTAATTAATCAATTTCAGAGTAAGGAATGTTCTCTTAGCTAAAGTAAAAGCACAAATTATATACTGAAACCACAACTGGGGAAGGAAGGTAGATTACAAACAATCATTTAGTGGTTTCCTGTAAGAAACCCCTAAGTCCCACAATACAACAATTCTGGAGTGAAGTCTTTGGGGGTTGTGATCACCTCCCCTAAAGGACAGAACTAGAGTTCTGTGACAGGAACAGGTTCTGCAATCTTTGATTCACTTCACTTCAAGTACCCAAGCAGAAGGATGTCAGTGATTGTGCAAGGTTTGATTGATTAGTTCAAGCTGCATTGTGAGTCTGACTCACTAGCTGGAAAAGGCAGCTCTTGAGAAAACTAAATTCTTAGTATATTCATTATACATATCATATTGATTAATATGAAAATTTTAAATCCCTTTCTTATTAGCATAATCAACAGTCCACTGAACAAAAAGAAGAAATAGTGAGAGGCATGCATTTTACTGTACATGCATATATCGCCAGGTACAGGAGTGCTTTAGGAAAAATTATGTTAACATCCTTCCTTACTCAGCTAGGAGAATAGTTAAATCACTTTGGAAAGCTCAAACTTCCATTGGACTTCTACCTGAGGAATGTCAAACAGTTAACATAATTATTCCATAAGTCAATTTTTGGTCAGTTAAGATTAATATAAACAGAAGACAGGCTTTCAGTTAATCCCATATATGAAGGGGTTCATCACAGGAGGAACCAGGATAGAGATATTAGTTTTTGTTATACAGACATAAGATGGGATTTGTTTGCCCAAATTCTGGACCAGAATGTGTGTGTGTGTGTGTGTGTGTTCCCCAGTTCTGTTTGATTCCAGGTAAGAGTTATAGTTCACTAGTTCACTTTTACTTTGGAACAGCCAATCATACAGCTAAACTGTACATTATTCACAGATTGTCATAGTCAGGCTCAGAATTAACCAGGTGGGAAAATTTCCTGTTCAGAAAGGAAATAGCACAATGAGGAAATTGAGTCAAGAGAATCCTATCTTTGCCTACACAAGGCTGTCCTCTCAATTTTCCCAAGCACAGACATATACGTGAAGCAGTTTTCAGCCCACACTCCCTTTGAGAAGCACATGATATTTTCTTTGAATGGTGGATTATTAGCTTAATGACATTCAGACAATTATACCTGAAATTAAAACTCAGAATAATATAAAAATACAATCCCATTAGACTTCACTTCAAATAACAAAATTTCACAAATCACAACTTAGGGATCGGTTACTGTTATTTTTCTCATATTGAAATAACAGTTAATAAAAATATATAAGGGCATATAAGCACATATTGGCAAAAAAAACTACATTAACAGCCATTATATCACAGGTATTTATTTTTTAAATCAGGAAGGAAATCTATAGTGCCTTCTCCTTTGCGGTTCTTCCCTTCTCTCTTTTCCTTTCTTCCTTCCTTCTTCTATTCCACTATCCCATTTTCTTCTCACCTTAAAAGGAGAATTTGAAAAATAAACCAGAATAAAAGGTCTATTCTGTTGGTCTGAGAAGTCAGGGTTTTTACTTGTTTATCCTCAATTAAAAACAGATTTGACATACACTACTTCACTCATTTCCTTATTTATTAGTTATATGTGCTGGGTGACTCATATGGTCATAAATTTAAACATGGGAGGAACCTTAGAAACCATCCAGACATATTAGAACAAAGTCCTACAACTGACAACTGGCAGAGCAAGTTTCAGAACTGAGTTTTCTGAACTTGAATCTAGCATTCTTTTGACTGTACCATTCTGGTCCCTGGCTCACCTATGTGACTTACCATCCCAGTGCCATCCAACAATGACAGTCCTGGGATGTGCCCATGTGATCAGCATTTCTATCCATAAAGTCTCATCAGCGCCCTGGCCGTCCCACCGATGAAAACAACATACATCTCCAAAGCAATAAAGTAAGTGAGATAGCACTGAGCTCTTGAAGTAGGATTAGCATTTGCACAGTGGTGCATGGGCTACATCACAGCAGGCAGAGACTTTGGGGATGGCAGCAGTCAAGTGAGAAGGGAAGCATGAAGGAGGAAGCATGATGTGATTTTTTGAAAGGGCTGTGTAATGATTCTGGAAGAAACAAGGGCTATCATTCTGGTTCTGCAAATAACCAATCTTGTGACCTTGGACTTGCCTCTTTGGGCTGCAGTTCTCACCTAGCAAGTGAGATGTTGTTGCACTAGATGTTGTACCAGGTCCCCTCCATTCTGTAATCTACTGATGAATCCAGGAGGGTAGCACTGGGAATGGGGAGTAGCATGATGCCAGGTTTCAAGATTACTCCAACTTTCATGCACAATTTGTACTTTTCCCCAAAGCTCTTTTCTTCCAGAATTGCCCTAACATTGCCACTCTTCCAGATAAGAAACACAAAATGGAAAAGCACAGGACTAAACCAATGTCCATGGCATGGTTTTCTCACACTCATACAAAGAGAGCAGTTGTAGATGATCCCAATTGCTTAAATCTTTAATCTCCATAAGATTTTTTCCTGCTTTGCTGGAAAAGTCAGGGATGAGTGGAGCATTTCTATTTATGAGAAGGATCAATTCTAGGAGGAGAGGTCCCAGCAGAGGGAACAACTGAAGAAACTCTTCTTGATCCTTGCCTGACACAAGACCACCATGGTCAAGCGAGTTGCAATTGTTGGAGCTGGTGTGAGTGGCCTCACCTCCATCAAATGCTGCTTGGACGAGGGTCTGGAGCCCATCTGCTTCGAAAGGAGCAGTGACATTGGAGGGATATGGCAATTCACAGTAAGTGATATTTCTTAACTCCTCTATTGAGCATGCCGACCAAGGCAACTACCTGGCAAGGTGACCTTGGTCACTTTACTTCTCTGGCCCTCAGTTTCTCAATCTGTAACATGAAAGCCTTCATTCAGATAATCTCCAAGGTCTTTTCCCTGTCTATGGAATTATTCTGTAACATTTAGATCTACCCAGTGGGAGAATTCTATTGGTACTAGGACAGAATAATAATAGCTACCATATATGTAGTGCTCTAAGGTCTACAAAGCACTTTATATGTCTTAATCTTATTTGATCCTGACAACAACCCTGTGGAGATAGATGTTATTATTATCCCCATTTTACAGAGAAGAAAACTGAGGTTGAGGGAGATCAAATGACTTATCCAGGAGTTCTATATTTTATCCTCTGACACAGATTTCCTTTTTACATTTTTAAATTTGATCTATGATTTTGTTAATATGGGGAAGTCCCAATGAGCAAGCTCCCTCTGTTGCAGATCAGTTTTGTGATTTAGAGAGAGTTGTCTAAGGCACTGTGAAGTTCAATTACTTGTCCAGGATCAGAAAGACAAGAATAAGCCAGATGTGGGACTTGAACCCATACCTTCCTTCCTGACTCCGGGGCCCTTTCCCTGCTTTCTTTCTCTCTCACAGTTGCAGGTGGGTAAATTCCACTGAAAAGGTTGTAGTTCTCCCCACGCCGTTTTGAACATTGGCTTGTTGAGAGTTTTAATTTCTTAGGGATAATAACAGTTTCCCCTTTGTGATGTTTCTATAGGAATATGTTGAAGAGGGCAGGGCTAGCCTTTATAAATCTGTTGTTACTAACAGCAGCAAAGAGATGTCCTGTTACTCAGACTTTCCTTTCCCAGAGGATTTTCCAAACTTTGTGCCACAGTCCCAATTTTTGGAATACCTCAAGATGTATGCAGACAAGTTCAACCTTCTGAAATGTATCCAATTCAAGGTATGTCACTCGGAGCGGTTTGGTTGGCAGAAAGCTACTTTATACATATCTTCTTTTGTTGCTTCCTATCTGAGACCCAAGTTTTGTTCTTGAGATTGAGAAACTGGCCAAGAGCAGTGCTACTTGGCAGGATTCCTTCATCCCCTGGTGGCTCTTCAATTAACCTGTGAGGGAAATATGTCTTCATGCCATATAACTCACCTGCAGAAACCTGTCTATGTATAGCCTTTATCTGAACGGCCACAGGCTCTAATCCAGATAGAGTTACAGTTTCTGACACAGTCCTATACTCACAATTCCTGGGTCTATATTTTTGTTGCTTATATATTATCACTCCTTGAAGGGGATGGGGAGGAATGATATCTGCATACTCTGGATTCTTTTTTTCAGACCATTGTCTGCAATGTGAAAAAATGTCCAGATTTCTCCAGCTCTGGCCAGTGGGAGGTAACCACTGAAAATGAAGGGAAGCAAGAGTCAGCCATATTTGATGCTGTCATGGTCTGCACTGGTTATCTCACTGACCCATTTTTGCCACTAGATACTTTTCCAGGTATGGTATTTTCTTCTAAGTCCATTTTTTTTTAATTATCTACTTATTGGTTTGTCTTAGTTTTGGATTTTTCGAAAAAAATCACTGTGGAATACAATGTGGGTGTACCCCCAAAGCACTATCACAGGCCTTCTTTTCTTCTTATTCTCTGTCTCTTGGTGACCTCATCAAGTGTCAGGGGCTTAATTAGCATCTCTATTCAGATGACTCATAAATGTATATATCCAGCCCTAGTTTTTCTTTCTTCTGAGTTCCAGTCCCACATCACAAACTGCCTATTGGACATTTCAAAATGTATTACTGTAGCCATTTCTAATTCAAAATGTCCAAAATAGAACTCATTGTATTACCCACTTTTTTTCCATACTTCTTTTAGTCCCCCAAGTTCACAATCTATCTCATCCTCAATATCCCACTCTCCATCACTCTACATATCCAATCAACTGCCGGATCTTTTCATTCTTCCTCAACATCTCTTGCATCTATACCTTCTTCTCCACTCATCCAGCCATTACTATATTTCAGATCCTCACCACCTTTTCCTTAGTGTAGGGTAGGGAACCTGTGGCCTCAAGGCCGCATGTGACCCTCTAAGTCCTCAAGTGCGGCCCTTTGACTGAATCCAAACTTCACAGAACAAATCCCCTTAAGAAAAGCATTTGTTCTATAAAACTTAGACTCAGTCAAAAGGCCACACCCACGGACCAAGAAGGCCACATGTGGCCTCAAGACCACAGGTTCACCTACCCCTGCCCTAGCCTACTACAATAGCCTCCTGATGCATCTCCATCCTCCACATCACTGCCATAGTGAAATTCCCAAAGCATAAGTCTGGCCATATGACTTCTCTATTCAATGAATTCCAGCAGCTTGCTGTTCCCTCTATGATAAAATCTATTGTCATTTAAAGTCTTTTCACCACAGCATTCCAATCAGTTTTTCTATCCTTATTCTACATCACTCCCTTCTACACATTCTATGGTCCAGCCAAACTGGTTTTCCTACTCTGTCTCACACAAGACTGATTTCCCTGACTTGCGAGTGAAACCTTCCACATATATTGTCTCTCCCATGTTAGAACGTGAGCTTCTTGAGAGGAAGGACCATCTTACTTTCAGATTTGTAACCCTAGTGTTTGTTTCTCACATAGGAAGCATTTCACAAATGTTTTATGCATTCATTCAAGATATCCCATCTCTCATTTCTGCATCTTTATACAGGCTCTGTCTAATGTGTAAAATGAACTACACCTTCAATTCTGCCTCTTAAAATCTCCAGTTTCCTTCAGAGTTGGGTTCAAATTCCATGTTCTACACGAAGCCTTTTCTGATGTCTTTCAGCTACTAATTTCATCTCCCCCCAAATTACTTTGTATTTATTTTTTAGAAACTTTGTATATTCCTATATATTTATACATAAGATCCTTGAAAGGACATAAGATCCTTGAAAGAACATAAGATCCTTGAAAGGAGGGACTGTTTTCATTTTTATCTGTATCCTCAGAACCTATCATACCACCTAACATATATATTTAGTAGGTGATTAATATATTGATGGATTGATTTATCACTTTACTTCCTGATAAACCACTCCCCCCAAACATCCTCCTTTGTCAATCAGCTAATAAATATTTACTAAGTGCATACTATGTGCCAGACACTGTACTAAGTACCAGGGATATAAATATGAAAAAAGTCAGTTCCTGCCTTCAGGGAGCTTATAATCTAATGGAGGATGACAACTCACAAAAGGGACCTGAAAAGGGGGAAGGTGAAAAGCAAAGAAGGTACCTGGTGTGTGGGCATGGTGAAAACATCAAAGAAGTCTCAGATTTTCCTAGGGCATGGTAAAAAAGTCAGAGTCATGTTAGAAAGAAAAACAGTTACATGAAACAGACCATATCCAGACAGGAAATACATTTCAGTATCAGTCCTATGGGATCAAGATTGGTCATTACATTCATCTGAATTCTGATGTCTTTCAATGCTATTTTCCTTTGTATTGCTATGGTTATTCTGTATATTCATCCTTTATGTCCACTTTCTTTGCTCTGAATAAGTTCATTCATTTGAAAAGCATTTTCCAGGTGCCTACTATGAGCCAGGGATCATAGGAGACACCAAGCCTTGCTTTAATCTCTGAATTCCTTTTATTCATTTTTTACTGCAATAGTATTCCATTACATTCAAATAGCATTATTACTTCAGCCATCCCTCCTCTGTTGGGCATCGCCCTTTTTTCTCTTTTTGATTACAAAAATAGTGCTATGAATATTTCCCTAATGCAGGGAAATGTGACAAATATTTCTATGAATATGTATGTTTGTATAGTACAGTGCCTGGAACGTAGTATGTGTTTGTTTCATTCTTTATTCTTAGGAAAATTAGTCAATTCACAAAAAGGACAGGTCTGAAGGCATAAGCACCTACTTTGGTATTTGTGTTTTAATGGTATAATATGCATGTGTATGCTTCTAAAATCACTTTTATAAAGCACTTTGCCAACCTTAAAGCATTATATAAATGTTTGATTTTATATCATCTTTATTGCCATTCTTTCTAGGAATCCCCTCATTCATTAATTCATACTATCCCCATGCAAGTTAGGTAGGGCAGGTATCATTATCAGAAATGAAATCCAAAGCCATATGTTGGCCACTTTGGTAAACTGGCATTTGGACTTGTTTGAAGCAGGACATTGGGTAGAAAAAAACACTGAATTTGGAGTACGAGGACTTAGGTTTGAATCTCAGATCTTCTAGTTTACTGTTTACATGAACTTAGACAAGTCATTTCATCTCTATGGGCCTTGGTTGTTCATCTGTAAAATGCGGTTGGACTAATTATTAATCAAGGAACCATCCACCTCTAAATTCTAGGATCTAATCCTACATTTTAAAGGCTTGATATATGGGCTTTATTTCAAATCCCCCATGACTGTGAGTTTGCTAAATAAAAATGGGAGCTTGATAAAGGCACAAGGCATGTTACACAAACTCTTTTTAACAAGTGGATTTTTTTAAAGTTTTGAGTTCCAAATTCTGTCCTTCCCCTGTCCGTCCCTGAGAAGGTAAGCAATCAGATATAGGTGTACAGGTGCAACCATGTAAAACATTTCCATATTAGTCACTTTGTACAAGACGACTTGAATGAAAGAAAAAGAATGAAAGCATGAAAAACAGCATGCTTTAGTCTGTATTCAGCCAGTATCATTTCTTTCTCTGGAGGCATAGTAAGCTTCATCATTAGTACTTTGGGATTTTCTTGGATCACTGTACTGCTGAGAATAGCTAAGCCATGTACAATACTTCATCAAACAATATTGTTGTTAATGTGTACAATGTTCTCCTGGTTCTGTTCACTTTCCTTTGCATCAGTTCATGTAAGTCTTTCTAGGTTTTTCTGAAATCATCCTGTTTGTCATTACTTATAGGACAATAATATTCCATTACAATCATATACAACCACAGCTTGTTTAGCCATTTCCCAATTGATAGGTGTCCCTTTGATTTCCAATTCTTAGCCACCACAGAAAGAACTGACAAGCTCTTTCCAGACCTTTTCCCAGCATCTGGCTGGTTCACTACTTTTTTATATATATAAATTGTGTAACAACAGTTCCAGAAATTATTTTCCTGCAACTATTCTCATTTTGTTCGGTGCTTCATGATCCACTGACCTTTGGTATTAATTAAACCAAGCTAAGCCATCCATATCACCAGTTGATTTCAGCCAGAGGACAGGAAACCAGAAAGATAAGTGCCCCATGTCACTGAGCCAATTGAAACCAAATAATAATGTCTTATTATTCTAATGGCGATACAGGATGAGGGGCCTGATACAGAAAGCCAGTAAGTTTAGATTAAGTTTCAGACAGTCTCCAAGTCAGCTCTGATTAAAATCAATGTCTCAGTCTCCATGGGTAAATACCATACAAATAAATTTATTGTCTATGACCAGGAGCTCGATTTTCTTGCCAGTTATGAATAGTAACAGCTGACATCTGTTTATGTTTAACAATTACTGTCACAATCTGGATCCAAGGGGCCAGGCATTGTTTCTTTCTCCATTAAAGAGACTCTCACTCTGGAGCTAGGTGGCCATAATCCAGATTGAGTTCTAGGCGGCCATGATTACCTAAAAAGGACAAGTTCTTTTTCTCTCACTCTTTAGCTCTTTATATACTTATCCTGGGGCTTTAGGGGGGAAATTACTTAAAATTTAATTTTGGCTTATGTCTAGGTTTTGCTCAAAGTGGGAGGAGGAAAGTACTAGAGTGTACTCACTATGCATTCTAGAACAGGTATAGGAAAGCTATTTATTTGTTTCACACGAAAGAAATGCTGAATACAAATTTTCTTAAGCAAGAATTGGCAGAAACTTTATAAAAGGATTCAGTAACTTATATCTATCATTATATTCTCTTAAAAGTTTGAAACTTAGAAAGCAAAATATGAAGCATTTTATAGGACTTATGAATAGGTATTTTCCATTTCTTCTCAGCTCTGCAGTATCTCCTCCATGTCTTCTATTGATCCAGACCATAGCTTGGGGTTATTCTTCTATATATGGTTATCTTCTCCTCCAAGAAGCACTGAAGTGGATATTGTGCCTACCTGGCAACATATGGTCTCATATCCTATAATGCAGCCAGCATTGCCTGACAGTCCCAGGAGATCTGACCTCTGGAAGTCAAAAAGCTGCCTCTGATGCTAGAAAGGTCTATCTCAAGATCACTGCTCAATCACTTATGCTCATTGAAAGAACACAAAGCAGAAGAGGCAGTCAGGGCTCTGGGATCCCATCTTAGACTTGCTAAACCAACCTGTGCTTTAGCTATCATGTACTCATAGTGCACTTTTTTCTGCTAGGGTGGGGGAAAGGCCAAATTATCCCTCTCCAACCCTTCTTCTGAAGCCCATAGAGAGAAAACTATTTGTTCCAGTGACAATAAGGAAAAGAGCAAGCTAAAAGATGTCTCTCATTATTAAATTAATGCCA